TTCAGGTGCAGCGTCCAGTCTCATTCGAGCAAAACTACACTGGTGAAAATTTGTTCGAGGAAGCGGCAGATTATGAGAGGCGCTCAAAAAAATTCAGTAGCTCACCGGTTAACGACATATTTGGTGTATGTTTTTGACTGAATTGCTTTTTTTGGTTCATCGGAAAGTTTCAATTGGACCGAAACGTAATTGTGATGAAGCGTGATTTCAGTGTCAAACAGTTTCGGAGCTTCAGTGCAATACGTGTGGTTCACAGAGCGTCACGTTCGAAGAGATGACTCAACTTTCGATTGAAATCCCATCGGGTAGAGGTACACCCACACTAATGGAATGTATTAATGCGCATTTCGAACCTGTTGTATGTTTTTCAATTACTGGTCACTTCATTTTTATTGTTCTGTCATTGGTTTGAGTTCGGCTCGATGATTATTGGTCTTATTAGGATTTTTGTAAATTTTGTTATTGTCATCGGATAGCACATTTGTTTGCGTTTGCATGATTATTGCTACTTATATTGATGAATTGCGTTGTTTGTCATTCAGATATTGGATAGGTCATGTAAATGGAATTGTCCAACATGCAAAACGTTGCAAGTCTCAACTCGTAGAACTAGAATTTGGAGGCTCCCAAAAATTTTGGTAAGTGTTGTATTGGGTTACGCTCACCTTTTATTGTTTCGTTCGTTTCCTTGTTGATGTTGTCTTCTGAATACGTTCGTATGCAACTGATTATGAGCAGTTTTTTAGCAAATTATGAGTGATCGTTTGTGTGAAGTTGTTTATATGATGTTCATTTCACTTGGTTGTTGTTTCAGTGAGATTAAGTAACGTTCGTTTATGAATATGGTATGTTTAGGTGGTACATCTGAAAAGGTTTTCGTTTGGAGCAAATGGTTGGGAGAAGAACGATTCGTTGGTTCATTTCAATTGTTTACCGCTTGATGTGGGCGATGTGGTTCATAAGGATATCAGAAAGAAATATCCGTCCCGGAGCAATTGCTTCAGTTTGTACGCCGTTACGGTAATTTCCTTGTTTATTATGGTTTTTGATGGTGTTTTGTTTCGATAATATTTCTGATTGTGTTGGCATTTGCATGTTCGCATGTATGAATCTTGATTGGGTTGAACATTTCTGTATGAGTAAAAGCAAAATTAAGTGGGTGAATGTTGTCACATTGCATCACGGATTGTTTATCAGTTGGCGACCTGAAAGTTTTAAAGATGCGACTGATCATTCAAAAGGCATACTTAATAGATTCGTTATATTTTAGAGGTCTCGAAGTGAGTTGATTGTTAGTGAGTATTATTTAGTAGTCGATTTTTGAGCAGGATTTTGAAATTGTTAAAGGGAAATAATTGGAAAAATACTGTATGCCGAATTCTGAAGAGATTTGTTGAAGAATCGAATGCGAATTTGTTTTCAGAGACATTCGGGTCGTCTGAACAGTGGTCATTATACATCGGTGGTGCACAACGAACAGACAAAAGAATGGCTGTATTTCGATGATGAATGTGTGACGTCGATTAATCCCGATTCGATATGTAATAAAAACGCATTCATTCTCTATTTTAAGAGTCATAATTTATAACGCTTCATTCGTGAAGATGCCACTGTAGCTGATTCGTTGTTGTTCAGGGGAGAGGGGGATTAGTATACGGATTTCATAGAAAGTTTGCGATTATATTGTATATTTTTGCTTTTGTGTTCTTTTATGTATGTGCTATTGCTCATAGTTGGAGGTATTTACTGTATACGTGCGGGGTATGATAGATTGTGATTGAAGACGATATACGGGTTTTCTTAGTGATTTTTCTTGGATTGGATATGTTTAGTTCTACCTGAGTGATATTCTGATCGATCTTTTTTTGGTGAGAAATCTGAATGGATCGATGGAATTTTTATGTGTGTNTGTGTGTTTTGTAAACACCAATGTAATTTCGTGGAAATGGGTTTAAAATTAACTTGATTATTGGATTCTTGAGATTTGGATTGGATTAGGTCTGATGTTTGATTATGGATGTGAATTATGGTCAGTAACTTAATTTTATTGTGTGTATGTGAGTGATGATTATCGTAACGTTATATTACAGTTGCTGTATATGTATACTGTCCGAAAATCAAATAATTAAATGTGATATTATACTTGTAATGTGCGCGATTTTGACTCTCTTTTTTGCTATACTCTGCCGAATTTTGATGTACATTCAATTGTATTGTATTAACTTATTGTGTGATTCAACTTATCCTCTTCAATCGATTGAGCGATTTCATTGGCGATAATTTGAATACTCAATGCTCCTTCTTTCGTGGTGAAAGTAATGGGATTGCGCTGAAAATTGTATATTGTGTCGCTCATCTGAAGAAAAAAAGGAGAATACCACGCAGTGATAGTCACTGATAATGAGAGAAATTTGCAGCAAAAAGAAAATGGGAATTGTTTCAGTGGTTTTAATTGTGTGTCCGTATTTCTTCATTGATCTGGTCACTCAACGAAGTTGCGGAGACGAATAGTTTTGAAATTTCTAATGAAATTTGTGTGTTTTGATAATTTTGAATAGGTTCAGATGGATGAAACAATAGCAACAAAAATCATTTAAGAGTTTCAATCATTGTAATTATTTCTTCTCATTTATTTATAAGCATTTTGTTTCGTATGTTTTGATTCATAGTGATCATCTAATGTTCATATCCTTTAAAACGAAACGTCTACATATCCTCTGAAAGAAAGCTATCTGTCCTTGTTGAATTTTTCTTTCGCAAAATCCTTTTTGAATCTCCTTTTCATTACATATTATATTCGTCTAGCATTTGTTTGAATATTCTCTCATAATTTGTTGTGTGCTTCATTTGAATGTTTGATTAGCCATTTGAATTCAACAGGAATCGTTCGTTTTTCCAGAGTTCTTGATACACTGTGAGATTGACAATATTCTACAATCGTCTGGGATTTATTTGGTGATTGTCTGCTGTGTTTCTTTTCGTGATTAACTGACCGATTAACTCATTGTATTGGTGCGTTTTGATCAGTCATATGTAGTGTACTGAAATTTCTTTGTATTCTACATCTGAAATTCACGCGTTGAATTTCATTTGATATTCTGTGATGGTGTATTTTTATGCATTATTCAATATAAATATTTTGCCGCATTCATTATATCTGTACAAGGTATGCATATGAACTAGGTGAATGCTCAAAGAAATCGTGTATTTCTCTAGAAATATTATTGCCTCTGTTCACTCCATAAGAAGAGTTTTGTAAAGATGGATGAAACAAATTTGTATTCGAATCACTTAAATCCATGAAGCATAAATTCCGTGAGGTATATTCGTATAGATTTGTGTGCTTGACTTGTAATCGCACAAGAGTATGTCTTTGCACTGAAACAGAGATAGATGCAACACAAAAAAGGTGCTATTAAAATTTGAGCAATTTCATAGTTTTAGAGAGGTGTTGTAGTCGAGCTTGAAGAGAATGAACTGTAATTTATGATGAAGTAAATGATGACAGCGATAACGATAACGCCTCAAACTGGTTTTACACTTGAAATAATATGCTCCTCTTTATTGCAGTAGTACTTAATTTCGATAATTTGAATGATTTTAAGTAACGATAATGGTGATGAACGTTTTGGGTTTATGTATCACTCTTTTTTTCACCGAGCTGCAACATGAACACGAAAATTCCATTGTGAATGCACAGTAATGAGTGAAAAATTCTATCTAGTCGTAAGCGACCGTGTATAAGTGCTAGAACACAGCAATTCGCCGAACTACCCAAGAAAATTCAAGTCTGCAATATAGGAACGCCTGATTCCTTCAGATCATTACCATGTGTGTGTTTGTGTGAGTTTAAAAGCAGTCGTTCATTATTGCTTTGATCAGTTCAGAGCAATTTATGGAAAATCAAGATGTGTCGTGTCGACTGTATAACAAAGAACAAGTTATGTGCAGTAAGGTAAACGAATCAGTGAATAAAGTGCGATGAAAGGAACAAGATCGATGGCGATTCATTGATTCCAGTAGTGATATTATTAGAGTCGTGATAATTTAATGATGGGTTAACGTTGACAGAGATAAAAGTAATCTGGTGGTTATTGATGGCTACAGTCTAGTATTACAACCTATTCTCGTTCGACTGCATGTAAAAGTTCATGGAAAATTGCTATTTTGCCGGTGCAGTCTCAAGGCAGATTGATTCAGCGAATTCGAATCGTAACGTTTCATCAATTAATCATCGAAGGCACACACGTTCTTGACTCCGAACAAGCGAACTGTGAGTCAATCGAAGGCATTGAAGTATTTTATTCCAAACAAAGTATTGAAGCGATGAGCACAAAAGAAATGTTGTTCTGTTTACATCACAAATCGATCTATTCGTTTAGATTGTGATCATGAACGCTTCAACGCATAAATAACCTCTTACAATAGTTTCTTACCAACAAACGGACAAATACTAACAAAATTTTTCGAAGAAATTCGAAATTTTCCCTCCCAACGAACACTGGAACAACAACATTCCATCAATGAAACTTCCTACTGTCGCTACTGATTTTATTTCGTACATAACCCGACGCAATTGTTTCATTCTTTAAAACATATTTCTTCTAAACACCGTCATCTTTTTCTTTATCATATCATTCTAATACACATATGTATATAGATCAGTGAGTCAGTGCAACAACACTTTCAAATGATTCAAGACTGGTTTCTTGAACAATGGGCGAATATATCAAATTCGATCCGTTGTTACGAGAGAGGATTGCAGATATCCATCTGATGTTTGACCAATCGGGATTACGTCACATTCGAGTCGAAGCGATCATGAAGTCACCATAAACAATAATACATACATCGAAATTAATAACTATAAATATTTTAGTGCAACTCATTTATCAATTGCTCAACATGCATCATCGAGCACAACGTTGATCTGTGAATCGAGCAAACAAGATCATTCACCTGAATTCGCCTGTAATCAATTCAAGCAACAATACTCAGAGTGCTAAAGTGAGAAAGTTGATCAGGTTTTGGAACTAATTCCTTAGAACAATCACAATATTATTGCTGTTAGTCAAATTGGTGAATGCTAGCAGCTATTGATAAGTTCCGAATGAAACTGGTTCTTGGAAGTGCTTGATTGATCGCTGAAATGCATTGCTGGAAGCATTTTCATGTTCTGAAACGTTCGTGCATCACTGAAATCAAGGGACGATCCATTTTATTGTATGAAATTATGTTTAATAAGTTATATTTGTGTCTTGATATCGTTGTCATATGTTCGATGACTGTTGTGGGTCA